TCATATATATATATATATATATATATATATATATATATATATATATATATATATATATATATATATATATATCAAATCTCTAATTCATAAAGTCGATACGATAGCCAGAGGAGAAAGAAAAACGCAAAAAGGAATGAGTTCGTAGAATCAAATGGGAAAACTTGAAGACATATCAAAGGCGAAGTGCAAATACTGAGAGCTGCCTACCAATCCACATCAGAAGGAAGCATTTCCCTTCCCAACAAAAACAGTACCAATCAAAACCGACCCTAACATGGTCTCTCCATACAACTTCGAAGAAAGAAAACTTCACACAATAAAATCATTCCCGAAAACCAAATATCCGATCATCAGTCTCACCCGAGCTGCTAATAACGGAACTAGGAGAAGTACTGTTTCTAAATCCCTACCGCAATCATATAAACCGAATAAGGTGGCGGAACAAAAAAAAAACTTTACACAGTAAACTACAAACACCCATATCAGCAGAGCTCGTATTTAATGTTTATGTCAAAAATCATTCAAGTGTTGATTGTTCTACCTGTATAATGCAACGGTCGCGGACACCGCAGCGGTTATTAAAAACGGGGAGGGGAAAGGCGAAAATATGCAGCTGCGTACCTGCTGCGCGCCGCGGCGCTTGCTGCTTCCTCCGCGGCATGTTGGCTGCAGGGTTTCGGGAGACTTTTCTCTTTTAGCCAGAGAGATCCCGAGCTGGTCCGCTCCTCTTTGATTGCGGTGCTTTCATACACGGTACCTGGGGCGCTTTCAGGAGGCTGACATTAGATCGGCAGTTTTCAAAAAAAAAAAAAAAAAAACTCAAAGCGTGGAGAAAAAGGCTGATCTGAAGAAAAAGGCGGATTTCTTCTCTTCCCCTCTCGACTCGGTTATCGCAGTGGGCAGACTTAGTAGTACGCCTCTCAGCGCGATCCTCACTTCGCTTTGGAAGCTGCAACAGGCAAACTTAAAGGAAAACGAGATGATCGCGTCACTCAAAGTCTGCAAACAGGGGCAAACATCAAGCAATGTCACGTTAACTCCTTGCACCTCGAACGAGTCGCTGAATGGAAATGTCGTGTGAGCATCGGCAATCATTTTCCCTAAAAGGGATTAGCGTGCTATGAGAAAAATCCGTAACGACAGTCAATATCCACTGAACTGACAGAGTAAGTGTTTGCAATATTGTTGAAAAACTGTCCATAAACGGGAAACAAATTCTAAATAATACTACGCAGCTATCGGCTCTTGCCGTTGCACTAAAATGCATAATTAGTGGTTTTGCCAAATATTTATGATTACAATAATATGATGATAACACCTAATGATTGTATACTTACTTCATCATTTAGCCATCAGTGTTACCCATGAGCATGCGATGTCCAGAATGATCTCGCTGATCAAAAAGCAGTACGGCAGTATACATGCGCCGCTGCCACCATCGCACGAAAATCCTCTTGACTTGCAAGACCTCTCAGCGCCGGAGGCGGTATATTGTTCTTGCTCCCTTCTTTCAAGAAGAAAGAATGAGAAAATATTAAAAAGTGGGGATGAACGAGCGCAGTCGCATCTCGCGCGGTGGCTCGCGCGGCTATTTTGTCCGAGCGCATGCAGAATCCATGGAGAACCGTTCGAATCGATGAGATACGTGCTTGATTGGGTGTCCCTTGTTGTAATAATGTACATCAGAAGGAGGGGATGGACTCTTACTGTGTTTCAGCTGCTCTATGAACATGGATCAGCAGCTACTGCCAAACAGTTTCTTGGCTGCTAATAGCACTTTTCCCCCCTTTCTTTTTGTGGCTGATAGTAGGTATTTAAGACAGCAACAGCAAATCAGAGGCGACTTCCTTGCTCCAAGATGCGTTCTCCGCTTCAAGTCAGGCAAATTCCATAACAAACAATTTCCTTGTCTTTCTCAACACCATAGGAAAAAGATTACTCTCACTTTTTGAAGGTAAGATAAAAATATCCAAATACCCCATCCTTCAATATATGGGATCATTCCATAATTAACGCATTAAAATTGTTTAAATTTTTAAGCTTAGATTTTTTTTTTACTCTTTCTCTCCCCTATTCAAGTTAAAGGGTAGTCTAAATACCCGAAACGCATTCTTTAAAGAAAAGGAATGGATAAATTGTCCATATTTTTCAGATCGTCACTAGGATAAAACAATCGTCCGTTCTCTGCAGGAAGGGCTACAGTAAGGGGAAATGCGAGTAATTCCTTGTAAACAAGAAGATGGTGAGTTGTCAGATTCTGATTCTGCTGTCAAATGTTTTCAGTTCCATGCAAATTGCTGTATCGGTGGTCTCTTCTCGTGCTGTAAGTAGTCAGGTCGCCTAAATTGAAACGGGAAGGCTCTCGAAACGAACAAGGATATCCGATCGGTGTGTCAGTCTCGCTTTGGGGACGAGGAAGAACTGACTTTCACCGATTCGGGATGTTTTAGCCCAATCTGGCTGCGCGTGCTGCCACAGCGTTGCATGCCGTTAGATCCGCCCAAACATCTGTCCGTCTAACCATTGGCGCATCCATCAGTGTCACAGTCGCTGCACGTTGCAGCGACAACGCCTCAGACACAACAGAGACACGAGCTTGCATTCAGCATCCAGAATAAAAAGGAAAATGGCATCAGGCAGAGCGCATAAAACGGGTGCTGAGGATTAAATGTAGTAAAATGAGTGCCTTCGAGCTGGAAACCATGTGCACCAAACTGGGGATGGGGGGGGGGGTCTAGTACTCGATGTATTTTAAAATATTAAATATTGTATTTAAAATATATTTTCTCTTTACTGCATACATTGATCTCGTAAACGGAATGTGTTGCTGTTTGTGGACTTGCGTATGTTTTTTTGGGAAACGCATTAAAAAATGCATGCTACGTGCATAATATAAAAGGAATTATTTATTTCCAAACAAAAACAAAACTTCTACATCAGATTAAACAAATGCAATAGTAAGCATATAGCCATCATCTTCGTGTTTAAAGTCTTTTAAAAAGTAGGCTTTTTACTTAAACGTAGGGTGTAAAGGTTATTTCGTATAATTGCATGCCGAAGGCTTTATGCATACTTTATATCAGCGTCTTCCACAGCAAACTGGATGAACTAGGTGAGTGAAAATGATCTATGCTAAATGTAGCGTACTTTCACTGTGCTGATACGTTTATTAGAAAAACCATAACCCCCAAAAACTACAGGAATACGCCCATACTGTAAGAAGATGTTGTTCCCGATAAAAGAGGAAACCTGTTTCGATGATGAAATAAAGTTTGGTGCATGAAATCGATATTTGATTAAAATTGAATAGGACTGAAAGGCGGTGAGGGAGCGTTACCTCTTGCGCGGTTTAATAGCTGCTCTTGCTACTTGGCACGTTCTTTCACCCGCGTTCCTAGTACTAATTCGGAGTCCGGTGAAATCACATTTAACCTTAAAAAGCCTGACTGCGATACTGTAAAATGCATATAGTTTGGCGGATCGTCGGCCACCGCAAGCAGCATTAAGAGAAAAACAGACATTGTTATAGGCGATTAATATTTGGGACTTTCCAAAAACAAGTTTTAACAATCTTTCTTGGTCCAAAGAAATCTAGCACATGATTTACGTTTGTATTTTTAATTTCTACATTTTTGAATAAATGGTTATTTACAGCTACAAATGAAAAAATACATAACAGTATTGTGTATCTGGGAGTGTGTGTGCTCTGAACTGTTCTTTATTATGTGAGCGAGCGTGTGAATGTTTCTGAGCACAGAGATAAGCATATGAACGTCAATATATTTCTGCACATATATGATACACGCAACAATTAACTTAAATATAATTGAAAACGCATTTTATCGAAATCATTAACACCACAGTTCAAGTTTATGAATTTAACCTCCTTTAAAAACAATGGCATACTCTCGTACATCCTGATGTAAATATTTTGCATGAAGTTTTCCTATAGAGTTTTAAGGCTTTATTTCGCTACGCAGTGTTGCGCACTTAAGCTGCACTTACATACCATACATTTTAACTAAACTAATAGTAAAAAGTATTTGTAAGCGCCGAAGCGATCTATGCTTCCTAATCAGTATAACATATCACGTGTAAGATGGTGAGGGGAGGAGTGTAATTCAGCACGCGTTTATTCGTACATTTATTATTTATTTTTAAGAGACAGTTCCACAACTGAAAAGTTTTATAATATTTTCATACTTTACGTTACGCAGGGGGAGTGCGCATTCATACATGTAATAACTAAGCGTTATAATAGTATTAAATCACTGTCTTTTTTTAAATGGATTAAATTCTGTTTCCCTTCTTTGAGAAAACAGCGGAAACGGTCTCCTTAAGTAATATAATTCTTCTGTAAACCTTTTAACTGCTTCTAAAACACGCGCACTGGCATTTACACATGTAATTGGATGTTCAGTAAGGTTCTGAGTATGTATTCTAGCGGCCTGTCAAATAAAACGCTTTTCTAATTAAAGCACTTACGTGCACTTTTTGGGTTTATTACAGTCAGTTAGAGACATATAATTATTGTCTAAAATGGAGAGTATGCTGTGGATATTTAAATGGTCTGTTCCAATGGAACATTTTCGTTTGTTTTATTCGATTTACTCAGGTAAATTTCCTGCACGTGTTAATTAACTTTTTATACCATAAACATACAATGAGAGTAAGCGTTTGATGAGGTAAATAATTTAAGTAGATATATACGTATATACAGGTATATGATACAGTTTTAGGGGTCCATTGCTTCGCAACTCCTGTTTTCACGAAGTACAGTAAATTACGTGAATTGCACTTGTAAAATAATACGGAGAGTAAACAACAAAATAACCTTCATTTAAATCTTATAAAGAAAGAAGAATAAACAGAATTTTATTTTAAGTTGTAAGCCACCCCTTAATCATACTCACAATAACCCGAAACCTAAATTTAGTGATCAATCATACCACACAATTCATCTCTAAAACAAAATGTATGTTGTGCTACAAAGGGGATGTTTCCCTGGACTATTTTACAAAAAAAAAAAAAAATGGGCCTACACGCCAAGCTGTTAAAAAATCACACTACTTACAGACCGCCCTCTATCAGTGGAACACACACATACACACACGTGCGTTCACACACTGGTGGGTAAAACCCACCAGTTCCTTTGACACACTGCCAGCTCATCCGCCAACTCACTTTGGGTACCTGTTCCTGAACTTTCCAAATCCAGTTATTTATTTAAGTGTTCGACCTGCCACAGGAGGAGTTACATTATTATTATTATTATTATTATTATTATTATTATTATTATTATTATTGTTGTTGTTGTTGTTGTTGTTGTTGTTGTTGTTGCGTGAATACTCAGATCATGTGTCAGACTATCGCTGAAAAGGGATTTCTCTAGCGCAGAAGCACCAAATAGGCCTACAGCTAATTTTATTCATGCACAATAATAATTACAGATGTTTGCGTATATATATAATGTATATTATGGGTATAACATTGATATTCAACGTTATGTAAAAAAAATAATTGTCTATGGGGTGTTTTGTGGGCACTATGCTGCTGACGACGCACGGTACTTGGAAATGACATTGGTAAATCGCTCATTTGCCAGAGGAAAAAAATATAATAAATGCCCCCGTCTTTTCCCACCAATCAGAACACTTTTACAATGTAAGATAATATCGGTTTTCCCCCAAAGTGTCCAAGGAGGGCGCAGAATCTCAGAATGTAAATTAATCATATTTTCGTTTTCGATAAAATATTCACACATGGTAATTACTTGAATATGAACATATTCTTACTTTGGTATTCCAAAGGTTCGCAAAGGGCGTCGTTTTTTTTGTTTGCTGTGTTAGAAGGCATAAGTCATTTCAAATACAGTACAGCTTTACAGAAACACTGGAACATTGTATTATTATTATTATTATTGTTATTATTGTTATTATTATTATTATTATTGATAATAAAAATAATAAATCGGGATGTTCTCATCAGTTACTAATTTTGCGTAATTAGTCACATATAAAACTGTCAAACTACAGACGTCGGATGTGTACCGACACGCATCGTTACGTTTTATATAGTCTATGTTACTGCGCATCATTCCGCTGGACCAAATTATACGAACGCTTTAATTCGTCGTAAGTTGCAAAGTTGCAGTAAATATTTGTCGAATTATTCGGAATCAAATGATTTCTATCTTTAAAATTTAAGGGATGGAACAAATCCGAAATCAATAAGAAAAAACTTTACATTCAACGTATAAACGATCATTAAATTGTAGATTTAATTTATGTACCAAATTTTTACATGGAATTTACATGGAATCTAATTTCCTTTAATAAAAATGTTGTTCTTATTGTGCCTTTTGTCTTTAATACAGACAAACATTACTTTTAAAAACGCTTAATAGTAGATCATATGAAAAGGG